TCTTTATGTTGAAAAAAATTTGTATTTAGAATGATCCAGCTGGATGGAGTTTAGATGATCCCCATTTTTTTGGCAACATCTGAAGCAACACAATTAGGAGCAGTTGAGCCTGGGCCTTCTCTCCACCTGGCTGGATCAGGATATTGGCCTTGGCCACATCAGTGACATCAGACCAGAGTCTGATCTGGTGCTTGTTGGCCTTGACAACCACAAGGAACACAAGTTGTGTTGTGGTCTTCTCTTTTTCTCACAGCAGACTCAGTGGTCAGGGAAAGTTCATGGCATTGTGATGAAGTTGTTTCTCTGGGGGAATTTTTTTAACCAGTGCTGGGGATTGTTCCAAGGGCCTTGCACTTTCTAGCAAGTGCTCTACCTCTGAGCTCCATCCCTATCCCTGGTGATGCCCTTCTCAGGATATCTGATCTGCCTTTAGAGCAACAATGTGGGGTCCACTGGAGGGTGGGTTGTGAATGCATCTTTCTTTCTTGGTGCCAAGGATTAAACCCCGGCGTCACATAGGCTAAGCCTGCACTGAGCCACATCCCCAACCTTGGTATTTGTTTTGTTTTGTGGCTCTGAATGCCTTTCAGCACTGCTTTCTTGGTCTTCAAAACCTTGGCTTTGGATTTGCAAAGAACAGGAGCTTTCTTCTTTGCTTTCCAAAACACTTTGGTGAAAAGGGTATGTTGCAGAACATATCAACTCCTCAGACCCATGTCATAATTTAGATCATAAGAATTTTTTTCTATCTTGAAATCAAGTTTTGCTCTGTTGCCCAGGCTTACCTGAACCTGCGATCTTAGTGCTTTAACTTCCTGTATTGGTGGGATTACAGGCACACACTACATCACCTGTCCCCTAAGGGTATTGATTTCTCTCCGTTTTAGAAGAAGTCATGATTTTCCATTATATTGATGACATTATGCTGACTGGACCTAGTAAGTGAGAAGTAGTATGACATTTATATCTTACAAGGGAAAAAATATATTTGAAAAAAAATTACGGTCTTCTACCTCATGAAAATACAGGTCCAAAATTATGTGTAATGGCAAAATATTTCTTCTAAAGTGAAGGAGAAGTCATTGCATCTGGCCCCTCCTATAAACACCAAGAAGCACAGTGCCTAGTGGGCATCTGGAATTTAGAGGCAGAACATTCCTCATTTGGCAATGCTACTCTGGGCCATTTACTGAGTGATTTGAAAAGCTCCTGGTTTTGAGTTGGGCCCATAACAATAGAAAATCATACCAGATGCAGGCTGCTGTGCCTGCGGCAGGTAGGGATGTTATTTAGACCTGTCCCACTAGTTGAATTGAGGCACAGGCCCCTTAAGATTTTGAATCAAAGCCCTCCTGTTTCCACAGGTAACTTCTTTCCATTTGAGAAATTGATGTTGGCTTTCCAATGAATCTTAGCAGTCTCCGCCACTGAGACTGAACAGTTAACCTTGGACAACAAGTGCCATATGATCTAAGCTGTCCATCATGAGCTATGTTTATCTGACTCATCAAGATATAAAGCTGTGTGTACATAGGAGCACTCAGTGTTAAAAGCTAGTGATGTATATGAGATCAGGCCTGAGCAGGCTCTGAAGGCAGAAGTCAAATACATGAAGAAGTGTCCCAAATATCCATGCCTATCACTGCTGGTCTACTACCTCCTATTCCAGTCTATACCTTTGGTCTCTTGTCATTATGACCAGGTGACAGAGAAAGAGAAATCCTTGGCCTGATTGACGAATGCTTCTTTATGATGTGCAAGCAGCATGCATAAGTGTACAGCTGCCACACTACATCCTGTTCCTTGGAACATCCCTGAATGACCCTGATGGGTGGTCCCTATTCAGTGGTCAGAAGTTAAAACAGTAGACCTGGCTGTTAACTTTTCTTCAAGTTGAAAAAGTCCAAATGTACAATTATATATCAATTCATGTGACCAATGGATTGGCAGGATGTCAAGGACTTGGAACATTATAGTAATTTAGTGACAAGGAACTTTGAAAAAGGGGGGGAATCCAGTAGAGGAAGAATTTAACAATGAAATGGATAGGGTCAATCATTTTGTTGATTTCAGACAAAATCTTTCCCCATGCACTCTTCCTATTGCCCAATGAGCTGTTGATATACATGGTCATGGTACCAAGGCTGGTTTGGCATGAGCACAGCAACAAGAACATTCATTCCCCTGCCAAAGTCAACTTGGCTGTGGTCAATCTTCCAGCAACAGTGACAACTCTGCCCAATATTTCACCATTTCCCTTGGTGATCAGCAGCTATCTGTGATTAAGTCAATTACAGTGGACTGCAACCATCACTGAAGGAACAAAGTTCTCTTCTTGTTGGAATGGACAATTACTTTCTATGGTATCTTCTCTTTAGGCAATGCTGTTGCCAAAGTTTTGTCTGTGAGTGACAGAATACATTCTGCATCATTATGATGTTCCACACAGCTTTTCTTCTGATCAAGGAAGTTACTTTACATCCAAAGAAGTGAAGCAATGGTTCAGTGCTCATGAATGTCACAGGACTTACCATGTTCCCCACCATCCTGAAGCAGGTGTCTTGCTAGAATGGTAGGAGGGCTTTTGAAGAGATAGATGAAATGTTAACAAGGTGACACTACCATTGCAGGGCAAGGACAAGGTTCTCTAGAGACTGACTATGCTTGAAATCATTGACCATGATTTCATTGTCCTGGTTTCTCCCAGGTCAGGAATCAAATGGTAATGGAAGTAGCAGCATGCCCTCTTCCCTCTAGTGCCTCAAGGGCAAAATTTATTCTTCCTGTGCCAATAACTTGGTGTTTTGCTGGCTTGAGTTCTAACATCAAGAGGCAGGAATGCTGCCACCTCAGGCCACATTGAAGTGAAAGGTAGGCCAAACCAACAGCCAATCAACAGAGCTGCTGTGCTGGTTCAGATGATGGATCCTGACTACTGAGGGGAAATTGGACCACTATTCCTCAATGGAATAAGAGCAACATGTCCGGGGAGCAGTAATCCCCATGGCCCTCAAAATGAAAATAGCTTTCAGCATTAGGCATTTATAGTTGTATAAATATACATATACAAGTTTTTTACATTTTTTCATATACAGTTTTGATTTTCATTTTCCTGAATGCATTCTTTATTTAATGTTTCTTTTAAATTTTTATTTAAATGTTATTTTAAAAATATAATTAAACAAAGAGTAGGATTCCTTATTAAATATTCACACATATGCACAACATAATTTGGTCAGGTTCATTCACTAGTAACTCCCCATTCTCTCACCTCCACCCTCCCACTGGTCCCTTTCCTGCATTACTCTCCATTCTAATTTCATTACTTTCCTATCCCTTTCCTTCAATATGAAAGAAAATATTCAACTTTTGACTTTCTGAGTATGGCATTTTCACTTAACATAATCTTCTCAAGTTCCATTCATTTGCCTGCAAATGGCATAATTTCATTCTTTGTGGCTGAATAAAACTCCATTGTGTATATATACCACATTTTCTTTATCCATTCATCTCTGACAGGAATCTAGATTGGTTGCATTATTTGTCTATTATGAATTGGGTTGTAATAAAAAGTGATATGCATGTGTCACTACAGTATGTTGTCTTCAATTCTTTTTGATAAATAGGAGTGGCATAACTGGGCCACATGGTGGTTCCATTCCTGAAGTTTTGAGGACCCGCCATAGTACTTTCCATAGTGGTTGCACTAATTTATAGTCACACTGACACTGTATAAAGGTCTTTTATTTTCCCAACAATCTCATCAGCATTTATTATTATTTATATTCTTGATGACTACAATTCTTACTGATTTAAGATGAAATTTCAGTAGAGTTTTGATTTTCATTTCCCTAAATGGAAAATCCCTGTAGCAAAAGATATTGAACAGTTTTCATATATTTGCTAGCTATTTGAATTTATTCTTTGAGAAGTATCTATTTGGTTCATTTACCTTTTTGGTTTTTTTGCTTTGTTGTGTTTTGTTTTGATTTTTACCTTAATTAAACCTAGGGGCACTTAACAACAGAGCCCCATAGGCAGCTCTTATGAAAATATTTTATTTAAAGGCAAGATCTAACTATGTTGCTTAGGGTCTTGATAACTTGTTGAGGCAGGCTTTGAACTCGTGATCCTCCTGCTTCATTCTCATAGGCCAGTAGGATTACAGTCTTGCACCACCATTCCTGACTCATTTATCTATTAATGATGGGATTATTTGCTTTTTGGCATTAGAGTTTTTAAATTTCTTTTTATATTCTAAATATTTATCTTGTTGGAAGAATATCCGGCAAAGATTTTCTCATTCTGTGGGCTCTCTCTTCATGGTCTGAATAATTTCCTTCTCTGTGTAAAACCTTCTTACTTTGATGCCATACATTTTAATTAATTCTTGGTATTATTTCCTGTGCTTTTAGAGTCAATAGAGGATGTCATATTCTATGCTTATATGAAAGAGTTTGACACTCTGTTTTCTTCTAGCTATTGCAAATATTTTGGTATGATTTCTGGGTTTTATTTCTATTTCAATTTGTCTTTTGGACAGGGTGAGACATAGGAATCTAGTTTCATTCCTTTACCTTGCTTATCCAATTTTCCCAGCACCATTTGTTTAAAAGGCTGTCCTTTCTCTCATGTTTGTTTTTGGTGCTGATGTCAAGGATCAGATGATTGCATCTGTCTGGATTTGTCTCTCTGCCTTCTATTCTGTTGCATTGACCTATGCATCTGTTCTTATTTCAGAAGCATGCAGTTTTTGTTACTATAGTGCTACAGTGTAATTTGAAGACAGATATTGTGAAGCTTCCTGCATTTTTTTCTCTTAGAATACTTTTGTGACTTTTTTTTCTGTGATTAATGTCATTGAATCTTAACACGGACTGCATTGAATCACTAGATTGCTATTGGCAATATGACCATTTTAACTATATTAATTATGTGTATCCATGAACATTGGAGGGCTCTTCATCTTCTACTGTCAATATTTTTCCCCTCAGTGTTCTCTAATTTTCAATGTAGAAGTTTCTTCTTTGTGATCTTTTTAAGTAGATACTCATAGCTATAAAGTTTACTCCAATAGCTGCCTTCTTAGTGTCACAGAGATTGTGACATGTTTTATTTCTTTTCTCAGTTGATTTGATTATTTTAAAATCTTCTCTGCTGACATTCACCATCCGTTGTTAGTTGTTCCAAAATGCATTGCTCAATCTTGGTGTGGTTATATTTTTCTATACTTTTTCTTGCTGTAGATTTTTATTCATTACATTATGACCTGGTAAGAAGAAAAAATATGTCATTCCCTTTATTTGCTAAAACTTATCTGTGGTGAAAAGTTTTGTTGAAATCACATAGTGTTATTGTACCAGGTTTTAGCTGAGTCTTTAAGTAAAGTAGAATCTGTGTTATGTAATTAGGTGCACTGATATTTAGGATAGAAATATTTACTCTAACTTCTCTTGTTTTGGGATTGTTCTCTTTTCCAGTATAGATTTTACCTTCTGAGTAATTTACCTTCTGAGTAATTGATTTGATGTCTACTTGATCAGATATGTTAGTAGCTAGTCCTGTTTTTCTTAGGGTACTGTCGGCCTGTAATATAATTTTCCATTCTTTCACTTCAGCCTGTAAGTACTTTTGCCTGTGTGATGAGACTTTTGCAAACACCATACAATGGAGTCTTGTTTTTTTTTTTATTTTTTAAAACTTTGAGACAATGTCCATCATTTAATTGGAAGATGTGACGATTCAGTATTCCCATAAAGAGAAGAGAGATGTGCATGAATTCTTGCCATTTTGATTGATTTCTAATGTTTAATTTGACTTGATTTTTTATTTGCTTAGGAACACTTGTAGTGAATATTGTCTAGTTATGGAGTCTTGTTTGTTTCCCCTCTCTCCACAGGGTTGAACCCAAGGCCTGATGCATTCTAGGCAAGTCCTTTACACCAAGCCACAATGCAGCCCCTGGGGTTATGCATAGTTTTTCCTTAAGTATTTTCTGTAACACTGGCTTACTAGTTGTGAATTCTTTTTCTATCAGCTCATCTGGCAAGGTTTTTATGTCTCTTTGATTTTAAAAGATAATTTTGCTGGGAATAGCAGGCTTGGTTGACAGTTACTTTCCTTTAGATTAGATCTAAACACTCCTAGGGCCCAGGTCTCTGGATCTCAGGAGCCTCAAGAGAATTCAATTTCTAAGGCAGATAACCAACCACCCTTGGTTGAGAAGGCGCAGCACACACCCTTGAATATAACCTTTCAAAGCTCAGTCCCTGAATGTAGTTCCACCTCTTATTCATTTTCCTTCCCTCTTAGCTTTTCAACTGAGCCACCAGACTCAGAGAAAGCAAGTTGCACTCACAACCTTGTCTCAACATTCCCTCCTAACCCTCCTTCCCTCCTTCCTTCCTTCCTTCCTTCATTTCTTTGAAATGAACCCAGTGTCCTCTTCCAATAAACTACAACCAAAGGCCATTTTAGTTTTTCTTTTGAGACATTGCCTTACTAAGTTCTTCAGAATGGCCTCAAAGTTGTGATCTTCGTGCCTCAGCCTCCCAGGTCACAAAGTTCTTGTGCCAAATTTTTCTCTTGTGTTTCTCTCTCTCTTTGTATTCCCCTCCCCTCTGTGGTGAGCTGAGCCCACAGCTGTCACTACCTTGGCTTCAATGTACTCTTTCTTGTGCTCTATTAAAAATACATGCATTTCTGGATCTCTTAGTATTTAATATTGATCTTTAGTGAATTCCCTCAGGCACCACCTCAGTGAGAAGCAGTATTCCTGCTGCTTCAATTCTGAGCTATGAAGTAAGTACAGCCTTCCTTTACTCTGCCACTCTATTTCCTCATTCTACATAAAACTTACGTGTTAGTCATAAAAATTTGGATCCCAATGTTTGCTCTAAGAAGTGAGCAATGGGTCTGGGGCACAGTTTCAGAGCAGCAGAGAGATACTCATTCTATTGAGCTGTGATTCCCTTCTGCATTTTCCACCTGGCTGTACCTGTGGGAGAGAGAACAATATGACCTTTCAACATCATTTCTCATCATTTTTCTCAAGAGAAAAAACTCATTTAAATGTGGATTTAAGACCCCTCCCACTCTGGACACTGATCACTGACCTCAGTGGTTCCTATCTGGCTGAGCACCAGGATGGCTGGTGGGCTTGTTACAATACACTCGGTCCTGTCCACACACCAAATACCCCAGACTAGTAGGCTCAAGACAGAGAAGTCACTGAAAAAGTCTTGAAGAGAAGCTGATGCACAGTCTGGAATCCTGGTCATTTTTTTGAGCTCTTGAAAGTATGAACTACACACTGGCAGCATTAGTACCACCTTAACATGGACCCAGAATCTACTGGTTAACTCCACACTCTGCATCTCAGGTTGATGTCCAGATCAACAGGAAACCTAGGACTCTCCAATCCATGTGCCTTCTGTGTGAGGTAGCAGAACCGTGCACTCTTCTTGGACGTGTGGTCTGATCATATGGCAAACACTGGGAGCTCACTGAGTTCCAGTGCTCAGTGCCTGTCCCTTTCTTTTCTGTGGCCATCACTCCCTTGATGCCCTCACCTGTGCTCAAGGCTTTAATCCACTTCTCCATTCTTTCCCACTGCCAATGTGATGACCTCATCTACATTTCCAGGATACATCTCAGTTCAGTGTTTACACTGAGTGGCTGCCATGTCCCTTCTCTCATATGCCTTTTCCAGAGTCCTCTGCTGTCCACTGAGGGCTACCCCATCCTTCTCCTTATGCAGTCTGTTGTAAGGGGTGCACCCGTTAGTGCTGCACCCCTTATAACAGATACCCCAGCTCCAGTCCATCAGGAAGTGCTGGGAAGGCCATCCTCAGAAAGGATCCAGGATCCAGGCACCCCCACCATTTCCACTTCTGACTCATAAGTGGATGGGACTGCCATCTCTAGCCAGAAACAGAACACTTGTTCCCTGAAGGTCCTGCAGCCTGTCTTGCGCCTCACTTTTCCATTCTCTTCTCAGCACAGAAGCCATAGTGCCTTTTACAACACAGTTGTTCTCATATGGGAAGTTCTACTGTGATCCTCCTGTACTCAAACTGTCTTCTAACTCTCTGGCTCACCCAGAGAAGAGGTTCAAAGTCTTCCAAGAACTTCCAGACCTACAGGATCTGATCATATCATTGGCCTCTATCAGGGACTCTGTTCAGGGCACACCACAGTTCTCACTTTCCCATGAACACAAGGACAAGCTCCTGACACAGTGCATTTGCACTGCTATTTCCATCTGCTTAAAATTTGATCTGACACCATCAAGATCATTTTTCATCCTTCAAATCTTATCTCAAAGGCCATCTTTTCATCAAGGCTGACAGCAAGACCTTGGTAAGTACCTGTTTTCTCTGTACCGTGCACCACACCTTTTGGATATACTTGATGTGACACTGAGGCCTCCTACATGAACACTGTGCTTATTTAATCTGCTTACAGTGTACCCCTATCCTCTAGCCACGAGAACACATGATCCACTAGGCTGACAAGTTTTTGGCTTTTCCTCTGAGTCTCCAAGATATATTTTAAAAAATCACATATTTTGAGACAGGTTCTCACTAATTTGCCCAGGCTGGCCTCCAACTTTCAATCCTCCTGCTTCAGACTCTTGAGCCACTGGGATTACAGATGTGTGCCACAGCAGTCCTTCCATCATTTTTACTGCTAAAGTTTTACATTTTATGGATATATATAGTTTTCCACTTGCCTAGTGATGTACATGTGTTTGATTCTACCCTGCCATAAGCATCAGTGCACATACAGGCAAGATCACCCCAGGTTTATGATAATTAGAAGGTACTTTTCATCCTATCAAGTTATTTTCTTCAAACAATGTGTTTGTACCAATTGTAACTCTTAGCAGGAAAGTGTGAGTGTTCATGATGCTGACTCAGTGGTCAGGGGAAGTTCATAGCATTGTGGTGAAGTTCCTTTATTCCACATGCCCTTGCCTCACACTGTCAGCACATAGGTCCAGTCCCTAAGGTCCAGTTCCTGTTTCCTTCTAGTAAACCACTTTCATGGACTCAAATCTTCCAAAATAAAAAGAAAAACATCAAAGAAGGGAGGCAAAGAGAAATGGAGAGAGAGAAAAGAGAAGGAAATAGAAAAGATGAAAATAAGGAAGAGAAGAGAAGAAGCAGCATTGGAAAGAGCAAGAGTAACAGGCATTATCACTATGCAAGAAAGTAAGGAGATGGAGAAGACACTGTAGAACAGCAGATATGAAGAGAGTTGGCAAAGCAAGAAGCATCCATGAAATCCCTGAAATAACACATAGATCCTCAAGGTGGGGCCCAGAAGGTGGAAAAGTTTGCAAAAACATAGGATTTCATAAGCTGGAATAAGTAATAAGTAGATTGTTATAATAACAATAACACACAAATGGAAATGATTTGTTAGTCAGGTCCTCCAAGATAGACAATTGCAAGGTGGGTTTGAGCTCACCAGCATTTTATTAGGGGAAACATCTGTCTGAGAATGTGAGAAAGGAGCCAGAAATTCCTGGGAAAGCCTTCAGATTGAGGTATAATCAGACCCTGGGAGATGGACAGAGAGAGAGAAGAGCTTGTAGGATGGGTCCTAGACCACAGGCAACCTAAGGAAAGTACAACCAGGACATGAAAGTGTCCTGTCTATGATGACCAGCAGAGGAGTCCCATGCCTCCCAGGAACAGGCCTCCATCAGTGACCTTGATATGACCACTTTTTTTTTATAACAAGTACCTGTAATAATCAACTTTAAAAGCATAAAGGTTTATTTTGGTTTGTAAAAGGTTTATTTAGCTTGGAAAGTTTGATTATTGGTTCTGGTGTTTTGGACCTGTGCCAGCACAGTTGATTGTGGCTGGCCACCTATGAGCTATTAAGCATCCTTTCTCAGCCTTGAGCCAAGGGGGTGTTGGTCTGGCATTGCTCTGTTCGGGCTGCGTGATGTCTGCTTTCCCCTGGCTCTGTACCTGGGCCTTACCTACTGGGCTTGACCAGCCTACCCACTGCCTTATTTGATGAAGAACATTCTACCAAAACTCCTTTGTTAATTCTGCTATATACAAACAGATTGTAGGTCCCAGCTCTCCCTCTTTCCAGTGTGGAAGTATGATCTTAAGGTCAAAGAGATGTCCTGCCCTTGATCCCCAAATTATTTCCATGTCCTGTGATTTTTCACCACCTTATTCTTAGCTTAAATTTGCAGACAGCCTGTTTAAATCCAGTTTGTCTCATTTGTGTGGGTCACAGACAGGTGTGCATGACTCAGGAAGCCCATTCACCTCATGGTGGCAAAGAGAGGAAGGGGTATGGTTTCTCGATCCCCTCTAGAGACATGTCTCTAGGAGGCAGAAGACCTCCTTCTAGGCCCACCTCTTCAGGTTTCCACCACCTTCCCATTGTGCCAAGCTGGAGAGTTCGCCTTGAACACATGGGCTCCTGTGGGACATTCCAGGTCCAAGCTCTACCATCAGTCATTGGCCTCAACAGCCCTGGTAAGCAGGGCCTCTGTATCCATGACACTCTGGGTCTCAACACAGGAGCAGGGCTCTTGCTGGACTTCCTGGGGGTGTGACCCAAACCTTCCTGAGGTGTGTGGGACCTTGGAAATCAAACCCTGAGAGGCAAGGCAGGTACAGGGATTAGCTTCCAGTTAAAATGGGACAAGGAGAACCAGGAGGCACCCATGTGGATCATTGACATTCACATATACCCCTCCTACCCTCACTGTGTGACAGCAGCCCTCCCTCTTTGTGAAGATCAGGCTCTGTCACCACTGTCAAGAAAGGAGTTGAGGGTGTCCTCTGCCCACCTGCTGGTCCCAGAAGCGTTTTAGTCAGCTTTTTCATTCATGTGACTAAAAGGCCTGACAAGAACCATTGGAGGAGAAAATATTTATTTTGGAGTCCATGTTTTCTGAGGTCTCAGTCCATAGAAGACTGACTCCATTTCTCAGGGCTTGAGTCAGGGAGAACATCATGGCAGGAGGGTGTGGTGGAGGAAAGTGGCTTGGGGAATGGTAATCAGGAAGCAGAGAGGGAGAGGGAATCCACTCACAAAATACAAGATATATACCCCAAAGGCACACCCTCAATGACCCACCTCCTCTAGCCACACACTACCTGGATTAAATCAGTGCCAGTTAATCCCTATCAAGGATTAATTCACATATTGGAATAAGGCTCTCATAACCCAATCACTTTACCTTTAAGCCTTCTTGAATTGTCTCACACATGAGCTGTTAGGGGACAACTCACAAGCAAACCATAACACTATTAAAACTTCCCCTGTGGCAACAGCAGTGTGTAGTTCAATGGCCCACTTGTATCCTTTGTTATAAATGCTCCCCTTCAGAAAATCAGTACCTTCTATCCTGCAGAGACCAGAGTGGCAGAGATGTAAAGTTCAAGATCTCCAGTGGGTGAATCTAAGTGATGGTGAATGGAGCCACTTAGTTTCTGGACCCACATGTTCTTTCCTTTGAGAGCACAGCACCATAAGGAGGTCTCTGATTCAATAAATACACTGTGTCCTCAAAAAAGGCAGCTTGCCCTTCAGAGGTCTTCCTCAAAGCTTAGGCTCAGGGGGTCTTACAAGACCCATCCAGCATTGTGTGTGGCTGGCAGCCCCTCCATACTGCAGACTGTGACATGACCTGTGGGTCCCATGGTCATGGCTCATGCCACACCTGTATCACTGTGAGTGCTGTCATGGCCAGATAATAAAGTAAGAACAATTTGAATCCTTTGGATGTGGCATGATGACAGCCCTTCACAGTAGCCCATGAGTGTCTGAGTCATAGAAGGTAAAACTGACACATGAAATCCCCATCTATTTCCAGGACAATGAACCTCTGCCCTTCCAGGATGCAACTGGCTCAGTGAATCAATTTGTTATTTAGTGCCTAAAGAAAAACTGGTATCTCCAGGATCAGTACTGGTCCCTACTTCTCAGAGTTTGGATGTTAAGATGTGGCAGCATCTGTATCAGCCTTAATAAAAAGAAGAATTGCTGCTGGGCTCAAATGCAGGGTGCATCTCTGTCTTTGTGGTTACTCCAGTCATATGCCTGTCATTTGAGTCCTGGGTGGCCAGTAATGACACAAATATGCTATTCAGCTTTCTGTTAATTCTTGTAAAATACCTGAGACAACCAACCTAAAAAGAGGAAAGGTTTATTTGGGCTCACTATTTCAAAACTTTCAGTCCCTGGTCAGAAGGCTCTGTTGATTTGGGGCCTGTTGTGAGGCAGAACATGAACGTGGGGAGCCCCTAGCAGAGGAAGCTGCTCCCCTCATGGAAGCTAGAAAGCAAAAAGAAAGACAGGAAGGGGCCAGATCCCAACATCCCCTTCAATGACACACACCCAGGGTCTTCATTTCCTTCCAGTAGGGTCTACATCCTGGAGGTTCCACCAGGGGAAGAAGTCTTTAACTCATGTGCCTTTGGGATATTGAAGACCCAAATTATAACAGTTGGATCCTGTCCATTGGTCTACTTGGCTGTTCAGAGCCACTTCAGGGTGATGGTTTTGTGCATGTGATTCAGGCTCAAGCTCAGATGTGCCATTTCCATGTGATGATGGACTGCCCCAGACCTGTCCAGGTTGTGACCTAGTGAGCTCCACAGAACCCAGTCCATGTTGGCTATCATCACTCCAGTGTTCTTTAGTGTCCCATGATCAAACTTCACCAGGCCTAGTAACTCACAAAAGCTCATTACTGAGAGGGGCACATTTCTGGGTGTGGAAGGCATGGCCTCCCTCAGACTCCAGGGCCCTTGATAGTGTTTCTCACCCTGTGCTTGGTTCAGCTCCATCCTGCACCTCTCACACCACAGATACCCCCATAGTAGTGGAGTCTGAGGGGTGGTGCCTGATACCATCATGGCCTAGAACTGTAATAGTGTCCATTCCTGTCCAGGTTCCACATGATGCTGGTCTATTATGTCACCAAATATGTGGCATAAACACTGCCTCAGGGTGGAAGGTGATATTGTCAGAACCCAAAGAGGCCCAGGCCTCCTACTTCCTTCCCTGCAATGAGAGTTGCCAGGTGCAGCAGCTGGTCTTGTACAACGGAGAGGACATCTCTGCTTGTCTTTAACAGCTGGGCCCCTAAATCACAATGAAGGGGCCACTCCTGAATCTCTGAATGTTTTATCTTCTACTTTTTGAGGAGCATGTGCCTCATCAAGAGCTCCAGGGCACTTTCCCCCCTTGTTCATCCATCCCAGGCAGCATGATGTGGGATGAAATGAACTGACTTCATATTCTATGGGATGTGCATCCAGTCCAGACTCTTAACACTGCATCCTAGAGGGCAGGGATGGTGAGGCTGTGGGTATGTGGGTGTTGGTGCCAACTCAATCCCAGTGCCTGACACTCCCCAGCATCCTGCCTGTTTCTCTCTCTTCATGAAGTCTCCTGAGATAATGATGATTCCTTGGCAGAAGGACTGAGGGAATCATGGCCACATGTCCTTGTCATGGTATCCTAGTCTCTTTCTTCCCTTGATGTGGATACATCTTCAGTCACTGGGTTCTGAATCTGAAAATTGGCTCAGAATTGAGAACGGAATCAAGACTTATTGGTTCAAACACTTTCAGCCTCCTGCTCCACAGTTTTATGTTTATTGCTGATATTGAGAAGGGCACTTACTGGTCATCTGTCTGACACCTATCTGTTTGACCCTAGGGACATAAAACTCCACCAACTTCCACAACCCCTTGCGGATCAGAGCACCCATGACAGCCACTCTGGGGTTGCTATGGTGGGCATGGTCTCTAGTCAGTGCTGGTTAACTGCCTCCACTTGATCTCCTGACCAAACTCTCCCCACGAATATGAATGAGCCCCTTCCCCACCCTCATCCCAGCTGCATAGGAAAACACTCACTTTTTTAGTGAAGCAGGCCCTTGTCACCAGCATATTCCTGTGAGCTTTAGTGAAAGAATCCTCTTGGATATTTGGAATTCCACTCTCTGGTGGGCCTTGTGACCTCACAGAATCTCTCTATTCCACATACCCTCTTCCCTCAGCCTAATCTTCCATTGTCTTCTTGAGCATCTATGTCATGTCCACCTGCTGAGGGGTGGACATCAGTTTTCCCAGTCTAAACAGAGGTCACAAAGCCACAGAAATTACAACAACCCAAGTGGTTTTATGTAGCTCCATTTATGACCTCCTCTTATGTAGGTTCCAAGTCCCCCATGAGGCTCACAGAGCTAAAGTCAAGGTGACAGCAGGTCTTTGTTCCTTACTGGAGGCTTTGATAAGGAATCTGCTTCCAGGATCAATAAGGTTGTTTGAAAATTAAGTCCCTATCTAACTGTCATTCAGGTACCACTTTTAGCTCCTGGAGCCCTCTCTCAGGTCCATATGTGCCCCCTACAGCACATCTTATCCTTCTTCCACTGGAACCTCTGAAGTCCCCTCTGCTGCATCTCCTCCACCTGCCTCTCTTGTAGTGTCTCTCTGACTCCAGCCAGAGAAGGGTCACAGCTTGAAAGTCTTACTGTGATTTGATTGGGTGACCCAGGGAATCCAAGACAATCTCCCCATTTTCACATCGTCACCTCAGTTACATCAGTAATGTCCCCTTTGCCATGAGATACAACCTCTTCACTCTTCTAAGATTAGGGTGTGAGCATCTATAGGGACCATTCTTCAGTCCCCACGTCTTCTTGTGTTGAAATCAGTGAGGATCAAGGAGATAGCACTTCTGAGAGGGTAAGGGACAAGGAGAAGCCAAGAATGCAGAGATGGGGAAATTACCTGGGGTGCATGGGAGTGCCCACCATGAGGGGAGTTGGTAGGCAGTGGACATTGGGAAGACTCGTGGATATTGAGAAGAGGGAGCTGAAAGATCTGAGAACCTCAGTGTAGAGGAAGGACCCCACCCCAGATGCTGTACACGGTCCTCAGGGAAACCCCAATGAAAAGAGATTTCAGAGGCCCGTGTCCTCCAGGAAACCACATTTCTGTTAGATCTGGGAGGCAAGGACATCCTGAGAGAACTTTGCAGGTTTGTTTTTTATAAGCTGAGATTCCAAGGGGTTACTTGGAAAGATTCCAGGAGTTGGGGAGATGGCAGGAAAAGAGACAGGACAGAGATATTCAGAGCCTCATGAGGATAACACTACAGGACATTGAAGGAGACCTAGCATGGCTAACCTGACCGGGAAAGGACACAAGAGGTTAGTCCTGGTGGATTCAGGACCGACAGCTGGGCTGCGCGAGGGGTAGGTGTGGGAGCAGGTGGGTCTGGGCCTTTTCTCTGTGAATGGAGATGTGTTTGGTGTTGTTGGGTCTTGGTGCTATGTGGAACCTTTCTTGTCCTCTGTAGATTCGGTGGAAGGTCTGAGAGTGTAGGTTGGCTAGGCTGTGCATGATTCATTCCTAACTGAGGAGAGTTGTAATTAGGCAAATTTTATACCATTTGACATTGGCTAATATTAGAAGGATATAGTAATTTTCCTTAGTGTCATAACAATATTGGTATTGAAAGAAGAATGTCATTTTATAAGAGATAAGCACTGATTTACTTAGGAATGAATGTCACAATGATTGATTTTCTAGGGCGTCAGTAAGAATTATGTGACTATAATTTGTTCATTCTAAAACAAATGTGACAAAAGACTGAACTAATTAGGTCTATAGTCACCACTTTACTATTCTTTCAAAGTTTGGAATCTTTGATATTTTTCATGTAATATGGAGATAATTTACTGTAATACTTCCTCACAACATGGAAATATTCACAATATAATGCTGAACAAAAATTAAGTTTCAAGTGTACATGCGTGTGAGCCAGATTGGTGGTATATTCCTATCAACCCAGCTACTCGGCAGGCTGAGGCAGGAGGATGGCAAGTTCAAGCCAGCCTGTGAAACTTTGTGAGACACTGTCTTAAAATTAAAATTTAAAAGAGGGTGTAGCTCAGTGGTTCAGCACCATCTGATTTAAAAATAAAAATAAAAACAAGAATAAAGTAATAAAAGAGTATGCCTGTTTTGAGAATGCCTCAGTTGAGGGCGTATCAGTGTTTGTCATATTAGTACAGTTCAATAACTGACGTAACTAACTTATGCTTTAAGAGATTTATTCAGGTCACAGTTTGGGAAGGTCCAAAGCCTGTACCTGTATCATCTCAGTTCTCGTGAGGAGAGTGGATGGTGGCCTGCCATGGTGTGAGCATGTAGCAGAGCTAACCTATTACATCACCATCAACAGAGAGAGATTAGAGACCATGCCCCCAAATCCTTCTATGGCCTAAGGACCTCCCACTGGGCCCCAGCCCTTCAAAGTCCACAGCATCTGCAATACCACTACACTGAAGAAGAAGATGTTATGTAGGACCTGTGGGCAGCAAACAGACCTATTTCAAACCACGGCAGAGCACATGCATGTGCAAGTGTGTCAGTGTCTGTGGGCATTTATTTGTCCATCCAGTCTGCAATTTTTTTGAGATAGGGTCTTACAGATATCAGAGATGTGCCGGTAACATGTTTTGAAAGATCCTTCAAGCTTTTCCAACAGGAGTACAGGGGAAAGTTTTCTCAGTCCCCATTCACCCAAGGCCCCAGGGACCCTGCCAGAGAAGAATATGTCATCAATGATTCATGTGTCTCTCCTGAAAAAAAAAAAAGTTATGCAAAAGCTTTCATCATTGCTCCACTAAGAAGGAGCACTGGAAAGCAACAGGAGACGGAAGCAGGGGAAAACATTTCTGCTTCTCAGCTTTCTGGGGTGTTGTCAACAGGAGCTGATGGGAGGCTTGACTGGGAAGACAGAATCCTCAGGCAGGGTACAAGGGCTCCTGAGCTCTCCTCTCCTTCAGTCTCTGCCACATCCAGGACCTGGACATTTGTGCAGTCCATTGTGCTCAGAAACCTTATACCCAGTTGACGCTCAGACCATTCCTTAGCTACTCAGTGAGGATCCGAGAGTAGCGCAGTGTGGTGTCCCCCCACCCCAGCCCCCCGAGTGTGGCCTAGTGCAGAGCACAGGAAACTCAGTTCCCAGACCAGACATCCTGCTTCAAGTTGAGCTGGGGAAGGAGAGTTGAATTTTTTAATTAAAATTTTATTTTTATAGGTTTTAAAATGTCACAGTGGTTATTTTATACTATTATGGTAATAATCAGTCACAGAAAATGTTTTAAGGCAAAATCATAAAGATGCAAAACCACCTTTCATCTCCACTGACAGATGCTCATAGACTTGAGTGAAGGGGCTCCTGGAGCTGCCCTACGTAGCAGTGCTGAGTTCCTCACTTGTTTTCTGTGCATGTGTTTTGTTTTTGTTGTTGTTGTTGTTTTAGTAGCAAATCCCAAAACTAATCCACAAATCCAATGCAATTCTATCATATTCCCAACACGTTTCATTGGAGAAATTGACAAACAAGGTCCAAATTTGATATGCAAATACAAAAGGGCAAGAATAGCCAGGGTATTCTTGAAGAAACCAAGGTAGAACAATAAAAGTGACAATAATTAAGACCAGTCTGTATTGGTGCAAAAACAAACAGGCCAATGGAACAGGCCTCATAAATAGAAACATCTGATTTACAAATAAAGGGGCATCATAAAACAATGCAGAAAGGACTTTTGTAAATAAGTAGTGCTATGGACACTGTACATTCTTTTTAAAAGAAAACTGTAAGAATAAAAGAAAAAGTAAGATTAAAGATAATTCATAGCGTACACACAAAACAACCCCAGTGGATGTAAATGTGTAAAGCCACATGGGAAGTTGCCACAGGTACAGCAGAAAATATGCCTTAACCAGATAGAGGTCTGCTTCTGCCCTCAGCTTCTGGGAGGTGACCCCTAGACCCCTGCAATGTCCTACCTGGAAGAGCAACTCTGTTTACCTGGAGTCCATGGCCACCAGATCATAATACCTTTATAATGAGAGTTTGGGGGCCACCAGTATCTGCTCCACCTCCAGGCTGACCACCAGCCACATGAGCAGTCACCACAAGGCTCCATGATGATCTCCAGACACTACTCAGGGAGATTGTTCATAAAGATACTTGATGTGTGTTGTCACAAAGTGATGTTTTCTGTGTTTATATGCAGGACTACATAGCTGCACTCAAACAAGATGAAATATTTTGAATCTTACATTTAAAAACTTTATTATGATAAAGCAACATTATATGATATTTCACACTCATTTAAACACTGATTTTTGTCAACCAAATATGTAGTACAAGAAAAAAAATACATAACCACTCCTGTTGGTATCTCTGTCTTTTTCCTGCTGGGATTGAACCCAGGACCTGGTGCGTGCTAGTTCAGGCCCTACCACTGAGATATATCCCCAGCTCCCTTTTGTATCTTATTCTTTCATTGCAAATAAAGTCTGATTAATAATCTTATATCTAAAGATCCCTCTATATTGTGCCTTTTGTTTTAAAATCATAGATTTCTTGAATAGACATGGGATCAAATTGTCTCTCACAGTTACACACCAACACACGTTCATCCAACCATCTATCTAGATATCCATTCAGTCCAGATTCATTGAGTCCCTCTTCTATACTAGGATTATTCCAGATGCTGGGGATACAGGTGGTGACAACTAGACTAGCTCCCTACCTAAGGAACACATGCTTCAGAAATACAGACTGACAATCAACAAAATAAAAATTATTCCACACAGTGATAATTACTATTGAGAAATATGTGCCTGGTCCACAAGACTGCCAGTGGCAAAAATGCCAGGGACCCTATTTCAGATGGGTTGGAATTAGAAACCATATCTGAGAACTTGATATCTGCGCACATAGCAGCCCTGGGTGATGTGAGGAGGGAACCTTAATGCTTCTTTAAGGGGATCTTTCTGACTCTGCTAATATGATGAATATTGGTGTCCCACTCCACAGAGAAAGGCACATGTGCAACATCAACTCCTGCAGCAGAGCCAAGGTGGTAGGTTTCCTAGTGGCGAGGTGAAGGACTATGACCCTCCACTTACACACACACACACACACACACACACACACACACACACACACACACACACGGGACAGGGGAGAGGGGGCTGTCCTCAAGGGTGGGAAACTCAGGTGTCCTTCAGGGCTTCTCTCAAGGGTCTTTTTTTCTCTTTGCCCTGAACTTTGGGGGTCTTTGTTCCCGAGTACGAGAAAGCCTTTGAAGAAGTGGAGAGATCCTCAGGAGCTGGTCAGGACAGGGAAAAGGAAGAGGCAGTAGAGACAGGGGAGTGGGGCTGAGTCCAAAGCCAGGGGAGCCCAGGCAGGAGGGGCCTGCTGGCTGCAGGGCTGGAGCCCAGAGCCTCAAGGCTGGAGTCTTGGTACCTGTCACCTGAGGGAGGAAGAGGGCCGCTGGCCCTTCTACCTGCTAGAAACATAAAGGAGTGGCATTTGGCTTTTTAATTTTGGTTTTTATAAATGCATCAGAGTGGAAGATAAGGAGCCTACTTTTCAAGTGTCATTTTTTTCAAATGACATCTTTTTCAGTCTGCTCCCAGCGTGAACTCATCAGTAATCCCTAGGAAAAGAGAGCAAGGTATGGTGGGGGACACCAAGAGACATCTTGAGAACACCCCTGTCTGCAGCCACCACCCTTCCCAGGACCATTTGGTCCCCTCCAAAGTTAACCACCAGTAAAAGAAGGAGGGGTCCGCAGACTTTAGCTCTCTCCCCCTCATCTTTCGTCTGCTATTGCCAGGGCTTCCTTCTCTCCTCTGTGACCACAGTCCCCCTAGAGCTCAGCTCAGGAGGCCCTAGGGCTGGAATTCTCTTTCCTCCTCAGATTTGTGAAGCAATTCTGAGACTGCTGTCCTTCCAGGTGACTGCCACTTTTGGAGCCTGAGAGCATGGTCCAACTGGATTTGCATTGCCCAAATGTTCTTGAAACTACTTATATGACAGATTCAGTCCCATTCTTTACATTTGCTCATTTAACAGTTTGCAAGGGAAAATTATGGCCCAAAGAAGGAGATATGCGGGGGCTTTGTCATGATATGTGGACAGTATGGCAATACAAGTCTCAAACATGTTTTGAGTAAAATGTGACAGGGTCCCTTGCACCTCCACTGGGTTTTTCTTCCCCCCACCCACTATTGGCAGGAGGCAGCCTCCTTTGCACTCTATTTTGTGATTTGGGCCATATTTGTTACATGTCTGTCTACAAAAAAGTATCCCATTCAGGGGTGGGGTGTAGTTCAGGGGAGAGCATTTGCCTGGCAGCATGAGGCACAGGTTTTTATCCCCAGTACCGCAGAAATATATTTAAAAAAATAAAAGTATCATTCTCAAAACAATTGAGGGACGGTCCATGCTATGAAAACATGAAGTCTAATCCTAAAACAGAGCTTCTGGTGTTGGGTTACAATTAATATTTTGTCCTTTAGAATCAGTATTTTCTTGAGTTTGGGGCTTAGTTTCTCATAATTTAAACAGATAACATTCTCTGCCTGGCACCTCTTCCAAATCCCATTTTATACTGGAACATACAATTCCAGCATTTCAGAGAAGGTGAAAGGCACCAAGTTTTCCCAGTTCCTGGAGATGTCTCTGTCAAACTATCAGGGGAATATCATCCAGGTTTTCCCTCTTAAAAAATACACACTATGTACATGGTAGCATTATAATCCAGTATTTTCCTTTTAAGGAAACCTTTTAAGGAGCCTAAAATATGTTGGGCACCTCTTCTTTTTAATATTTATTTTTTAATTGCAGTTGGACACAATACCTTTATTTTGTTTACTTATTTTTATGAGGTGTTGAGAATTGAACCCAGGGCCTCACCCATGCTAGGCAAGCACACTACCGCTGAGCCACAACCCAGCGGGCACCACTTTTAGTAGCAATACATTAAAATATATTTTGCTCATTTTAATGGCTACCTAGAATTTTATTGCATAGATTTTCTTTGGGGGATGATGGGAATGTTCTTCATCTTCATTCCCTGGTGGTAACACAAGAATGTATGAGTACCCAAACTCAAGGAGCTTTACATTTCAAATACATGCATTTTATTGTATGTAAACTATAGACTATTGAAGTTGATTTAAGAAGGTTGGCACCCCCTTGAAATTTGTATTTTGGTTCTGTATAAAGAAAATAAAACAAACCCTTGTTCTTAAGAGATAGACCCAGACAAATCTGGAGGTAAAGAGTTATGGGGGGCTGGGCCTCGTGGTGAACACCTGAACAATCCCAGCAGCTCAGAAGGCTGAGGCAGGAGAATCACAGGTTCGAAGCCAGCATAGAAACTTAGAGAGGCCCTAAGCAATTTAGTGAGACCATGTTTCTAAATTAAAAAGTATTAAAAAGGGCTTGGTGATATGGCTCAGTTGTTAAATGCCCGGGGTTCAATCCCAAGTTTAAAAAAAAAAGGAATTATGGTGTTTGTAATTTATTGTCCAAAGGTGCAGCAATCTCATTAACAGCCATGTTTATATGGGGGTGGGAGAGTGAGAACAGCTGTGACAATGTGTTCACAACAGATGACCCTAGATTAAGGGTTAAAAATAAAAGCTAGAAATAATAAATACATGTTTTCTTTCTATCTGACAATTAGCATATTCTTCCATTATGAACAGAATACCAAGGTAGTAGGAGCCTTACCTCCTACTTTGACCATTAATTTCACAGATGTTTGCATCTCTCATTGCAGTGTAGCAGGGAGCTCAACACATCCTTTATACTCTTTGGTACTGGTTAAACCTGTATCCAGGTCTGTCTATTTAATGTGTCAAGAAATAAAATAATATATTTTAGAATTTTCAATCATTTTTTGTGTTTTTATTCATTTATTGCTTTTGGAGAGCATCATATCTTAAATCCAAACTCAAAGTTTTTTGTGATTATTGATATCAGAATTAAACCCAGTTTTTAAAAAGATGTAGCTTAGCAACCGGGCTTGACACATAAAGAACTTTTGAAGATACTTGTTTTTGAAGTGCTAAGGATTAAGCCCAGGCTTCATACATGCTAGGCAAGCATGTTACCATTGGGTTACATCCCCAGCCCTCTACACTTGAATAGGAAAAGTCTGCATGCTTGAAGTCTGCATGATCTTCAGTGATCCAGTAAAGTTTGGTGCCAAAAACTTTGAACCACACCTAACTGTGGTTTCAGTTTGTGGTCAGGAACTCAGCATTGGCGTCCAAGGTCAACTGATAGAAAGCTCCACATAATTTCTGGATTTGGGGGGTTTATTTGTGTTTGGTTTTCTTTGTTGTTGCTTATTTTGGGAGGAGCTGAGCATTGAACCCAGGGTCTGGTTCAGGCTGTGCTGTGTTGTTAACCACCAAATAAATACATTTTAAGGAAACATAATCATGGGAAAATAGAACTCTGTTACCCTTCCTTATGTTTCTTTTTGGATACACACACACACACACACACACACACACACACACACACACACACTGGGGATTAACCCAAGAGGCACTTTACCATGGAGTACATCCCCAGCCCTTTTTAGTTTTTTTATTTTTAATTTTGAGACAGGGTCTCAGTAAGTTGTTTAAGGCCTCTCAAATTGCTGAGGCTGGCCTTGAACTTGGCAATCCTCCTGCCTCAACCTCCCAAATCATTGGGATTACAGGCTTGTGCCATCACCACCAGCTGGTTTTCATTTTAAATATGATAAATGGAGGAGGGCTGTGGCCTTTTCTGCAGTGGGGGTTGTGGGGTGTCACTAAAGCTCAGGATCTACATCCTGTTCTGGAATCTTAATGGTGTAGATTTGGAAGCAGAGGCTTGATCCTGGGGGAAGGCAGGTAAGGGCGGGACCTGACAGCCCTCACCTCTGCATCTCTTTCTCCTTCCTGCTGTCCTTTCTTTTTAAATCCTCCTCCCCTAGCTCAAGTAGGAAGCTCTTGCGCTGTGCCTGCAGCTGATCCCGGCGCTCTGGGGAGGGGAGACTGGAGCAGAGCTGCAGGGGCAGTGAGCACAGCTGGTTGGAGCTGCCATGGGTGAATCGCTGTGATTGCAGGCCAAGCTTGCTGTGGTCGGATCTGCCCAGCCGAGGAGCAGAGACATTGGCCGGATGGAAAACCCATAAAAGAAAGCTCTTCTGAAAAGCTGAGACAGACAAGAACTTCCGCAAACTCAGATGTATTTGGGCTGCCTGACCGCCTTGGGTGATTGCTATTAATTAACAGACTTTGTGGGGAGAAGGGAGCTTGCCTTCTGAGCTCTGAACCAAGGATCTGGGAAAACTAACCAACTCAATATTTCGTGAGTACTTGGAGCAGTTGAGGTCCCTGCTAATGTGCTGATTGTCACTATGGGCAGATGATACCTGGAGGCTCACTGTCACCCAGGCAGCTCATATTGCAAATTATAAACTATTTCCTGCACCATTGCTGACGCCCAGTGATCCATGTCAGAAGTACTTCCAGGTGACTCAGGTGCAGACACCTTGGCAGTGTTTATGGCCAGCAGCGGAACCACAGAGGTTGCAAATCAGAACAGCCCAGCCACACCACCAAACACCATTAATCTCCGTTCTTCACACAATGAACTGCTGAATACTGAAATAAAACACTCAGACACCAAGAACAGCACACCTCCCAAATGCAGGAAAAAATATGCACTAACATCCAGGCGGCAATGGGCCTCTGGGATCCGGCTGCACAGCCCCTCCTGGGAAACGGCTCAGCCAACATTGAGCTGGTGAAAAATGGGGAGAACCAACTCTGAAAGGCTGCTGAGCAAGGGCAGCAGGACCCCAACAAAAACATCAGCCCTGCGGCAGTCATCAATATAACTTCTGAGAAGTTAGAAGGTAAAGAGCCCCACCCACAGGATTCCTCCAGCTGTGAGATTTTACCCTCCCAGCCCAGGAGAACTAAGAGCTTCCTAAATTACTATGCAGACCTGGAAACCTCAGCCAGAGAACTGGAGCAGAACCTTGGCAACTGCCATGGGGTCGGGGAAGAGAAAGCCCAGCCAGGCCAGGGCCAGGCCCCTGCTGCCATCATGGGGAATGGTGACTTGCTGCTGCAGAAACCAAACAAACCCCAGTCCAGCCCGGAAGACGGGCAAGTAGCCATAGTGTCCTCCAGCCTAGAGTCCAAAAAGGATCATCCTAAGACAGGAGCCAAAACCGACTGTGCACTCCACCGGATCCAGAACCTGGCGCCAAGCGATGCGGAGTCAAGCTGGACAACATTGTCCCAAGACAATGCTTCCCCCAGCTCCCTGGATGAATCAGCAGATATCTGGAGTGATCAGTCATTTCAGACAGATCCAGATTTGCCGCCTGGCTGGAAAAGAATCAATGACATCGCTGGGACCTATTACTGGCACATCCCAACAGGAACAACTCAGTGGGAACGGCCTGTCTCCATCCCCACAGATATCCAGGGTTCTAGGAAAAGGTCACTTAGCTCTGTAATGCCATCTCCCACCCCAGAGAATGAGGATTTGCATGCAGCCACAGTTAATCCAGACCCCAGTTTAAAAGAGTTCGAAGAAGCAACGCTACGTTATGCATCTTTGAAACTCAGAAATGTCCATCATGCTGATGATGATGATTCTTGTAGTATCAACAGTGACCCAGAAGCCAAGTGTTTCACTGTGCGCTCTCTGGGATGGGTAGAGATGGCAGAGGAGGACCTCGCCCCTGGTAAAAGCAGCGTTGCTGTCAACAACTGCATCAGGCAGCTCTCTTACTGCAAAAATGACATCCGAGATACAGTTGGCATTTGGGGAGAAGGCAAAGACATGTACCTGATACTGGAGAACAACATGCTCAGCCTGGTCAACCCCATGGACCGCACAGCGCTGCACTCACAGCCCATCATGAGCATCCATGTGTGGGGCGTGGGCCGCGACAATGGCCGGGATTTTGCTTATGTAGCAAGAGATAAAGATACCAGAATTTTGAAATGTCATGTATTTCGATGTGACACACCAGCAAAAGTCATTGCCACAAGTCTCCACGAAATTTGTTCCAAGATTATGGCTGAACAGAAGAATGCAAAAGCCCTGGCCTGCAGCTCCTTTCAGGAGAGGACCAGTGTGAATCCCGAAGTCCCTTTGCAAGTAGATTTTCCAATGCCAAAGACTGAACTGGTCCAGAAGTTCCACATGCAGTACTTGGGCATGTTACCTGTCGACAAACCAGTTGGAATGGACATCCTGAACAATGCCATAGAAAGTCTAATGACCTCATCTAACAAGGAGGATTGGCCATCAGTGAACATGAATGTGGCCGATGCCACTGTGACGGTCATCAGTGAAAAGAATGAAGAGGAGACCTTGGTGGAGTGCCGGGTGTGATTCCGGTCCTTCATGGGTATCGGGAAGGATGTCCACACGTTTGCCTTCATCATGGACACTGGGAACCAGTGCTTTGAGTGCCACGTGTTCTGGTGCGAGCCCAATGCTGGTAATGTGTCGGAGGCGGTCCAGGCCGCCTGCATGTTACAATATCAGAAGTGCTTGGTAGCCCGGCCACCTTCACAGAAAGTTCGACCACCTCCTCCGCCTGCAGACTCAATGACCAGAAGAGTCACAACCAATGTAAAACTAGGAGTCTTATTCCTCATTGACACTTTGAAACAGAAACTTCCTGTCACAGAAACACCCTAGTTGCATATGTTATAGGACTGTCATCTTTACCTGAAGATGGAGTAGCTTAAAAAAAAACAAAAAAAGAACTGATCTCGGCCTTCCATTCCGTTGCTGATGCTTTGTCTTCAGAGAATTCATCTGTACCTGAGCAGTGTTAGACAGGCATGTTCTCTCGTCTTGCCACCATCTTGTGCTATGAAAAGAAGCATGAATCTTTTTTTTTTTTTTTCCTGTCAGTAAGTTACATTCTCAGCAGTGGAAGGTCTTTTTCTTACTGTAAATATTGTGAACATTATGACTTCCCACATGCAGAGAAGAATGTGACCCCCGCCCCTCCTAGTGAACAATGCTATGTCCTTGGAGTGAATGATGCCTGCATTCTCTCACTGTCCTCTCAACTGGATCTGTCACAAGCAACCTTCAAGTTCCTGCAGCACTTTGCCCTGTTTTCAACGTTGGAAACATGGAGACACTGCATAGCAGATACCATTGAATTGCTGTAAAGATAGGATGACGAGTTGGGGTTTTAGTATTTCATAAAATTGGACCTGTTGGTTAACAAAACTGGCAGTTGACATCTGTATAGAAACCAACTGGCAGCTTTCCTTGACGAGCTGTGTGACACATGGATGCCATGTCATGTCTCCAGCTGATGGTGGAATGTTGGAAAAGAGTGGAACTTTAAAATGGATAATAAACTAAATTTGAGGAATTAAAATCAAACAAAAATAAATAAATCCTCCTCCCCTCCCCCACCTTTCTTCCTCTCCTCTCTTTTCTTCAGCATTTCAACCTTTCTCTCCAGGACCCTCCTTTCTTCACTCTCTCCATTCCTTTTCATTTTGTTTTTTGAAGGCTGGTTGCCAAGACAGGGGACTGCGTCCACCTGGGACAAGCCAAAATAAAGAGACACAGGGCAGGGCTCCTCACCAGGGTGCTGTGCGCACTGAGGCGCTGTCTTTGCTCTTCCTGGGAAGGTTCAGTGAAAATCACTTCAGTCTTCCCTGGAGATCACAGTGTGGGGTCCGGATTAGGGTCCTCACTGAAGGATCCAAACATTGAGAGGATTTTCCTTGAAGTTAGTCTTTGTTTTCCTTTGAATCTGGGGGTTTTCAATCAGTCCCGCCCTGAGGAGGGAATTCTGCTCCTGGCGGGGAAACGGAGCCCTGGAAGTGATCTGATCCTAGAACCCAAAGGGGGGTGGGGGTGGGAGGGCTCCTCAGCTTTTCAGATCCACCCACCACAATCCAGGCGGATGCTAGTTGAAGTGTGTGGGACTCCACATCCCGCTCAGGACTGCGGATATCCCCAGCCTCAGGGTCTGATTCTCACAGCCCACAGACTCCCCTAACTGCCAAGCAGCCCCAGAACTGAAACACAGATGTAGCCCACCCACCCCCAGGCACCCACAAGCACCTTCACTCTGCTTTTTATTCAACCAACAGTTTTGATTTTCTTTGGCCCAAGTGGGGGTGACGTGATCTTCAGCAATTCCGTAAAGTTTGGCGCCAAAAAGTTCAAACCACACTGAACAGTGGTTTCCTTTATATTCAGGAACTCAGCATTGTCGCCCAAGGTCAACTCAGAGAAAGGCCCTGGTATTCTTGTGAGTCCAGGAGTCCAGAGGGAGAGTGGAGGGAGAAAGGGTGTTTAATGACAAGGCAAACTTCAGCACAGGGAGCTTTCTGGTAAGCATGGTTATTACTATTACTATTGAGATGTAATTCATTTATCAGAAGTCAGACTTTCAAAGTGTGCAATTCAGTGGTTTTAGTACAATCATGAGGTTGTGCCACCACCACTATTACCTTCTTTGGATTGTTTAAAGGATGTGGAGAGGAGGTCTGATGGTTGGAAGGCAGAGGCAGGAGCAGTTCCCAGGGAGATTGCTTTGCAGTAATATCCTGTTGAGACAGGGCAAGGAGACAGGGCAGCCTGCTTTGACCCCAGCCTAGGAGAGATGTGACCAGAGAAATGGGGAAGAAGATGATGCTAAACAGCAGGTTGTGGCACCTGTGGGCTTGGATGGGAGAGTAGAGGTATCCTACGTTAAAATCAACAGATACAGCTGCTGTGGCTTGGCTTGGAGCATTATGGTGACAACAGGAGATAGACACAGTATTTAGGAAGAAGTCTTTGCAGGAATCTAGGATAAAGGTTGTTGAAAGTTAGAACCAAGGTAGTGACTGTTAAGCTGTAAAAAAATCCACTGGGGAAGCCAGAGGAGCAGGGGAAAGGGTCAGTGAGAAGTGACCAAGGGTGGTGATGCAGTTAATAGAAGTAGGGCATGTGGGGGGGGTCTATAGTGGTTGGAAAGGTGTAGAGTGCACTTATAGACCTGTCTGATTTGAGGGTCAAATGGGCCCAGAGATGCAGATACCCTAAGGAGATTGGTCGGTGTTGGATTGGCTGATGGGGAGCAGCCTGATGGAGCTCATGAGTTACCCTGGGAGAGCTAGGGCAGTTACAGGATGTGGCCAGAAGAAAGGAAACCTGGCTGGATCTCTGAGTCAATGGCAAAAAAAGGAGCAGATTAGAATGGCTGAAATGTCTAAGGGTGTTTGGAGCCTGAGAGTGCAGAAGGTGCATCTGAGAGCAGAGGTGGCTGAAATCTACAAAGAGCTCATCTAATCTGGTTACTGGTGACATTGGCAGCAAGGCTATACTTGATGGAGGGCAGTGTTTTGCTGAGAATGACAAGGCTTGGCTCTTCCAGAAATGTGCCATGCAAGGAACAACCTAGAGCCAGCCACATGGGGTGATGTGTTACCAGAGGTTGGGGAGATCCCTGCTTCTCTGTGGGCTGAATTCCACTAGGTTCCCAGAGATGTGGAACTGCTTCTAAGGTTGGGCCATGGCACTTGCTCAGAATCTGATGCTACAGCATTCACCTAGCTGCCCTTACTTGCTGTCTAACCTACCTGAGGCATCCTAAATTACAGTCGCTTTTCTGGACTTTGAGGCTGATGGGACCCGGTGGATATTTCCCATTTTCTTTGGAATGTACCCTGTACTTGTAGGGAAATTCCATTTTAAACATAGCCCCTCCCTCTCTGCTTCTGTTTGGTCTGTCCCCACTGAGTGAGTGCTTATTGAGCAACACCCAATGACAGCTAAACTCCACCAGAATCTCCCTTCCCGGGAACTCTGAGCTGTGGGTCAGCAGGAAGGGTGGCAGACTTGTGAGCTTTGGGGCTAAACTGTTTGTGCACCCCTGAGTGCCTCCGCTGGTGAGTGCCCTCAATGTGGGTCTTCAGATTGGGAAATGCCTGACAAATCCAGAGCAAATCCAGGGCTTTGGGTGCCTACCCTGCTTGGCAAGCTCTGGAGGGGTGCGGGGCTGGACATGACCAGTTTGCCACAAAACCTCAACTCCTCAACTTTGCTCTTCAGGGCTCACTCCTCTGTCACCTCCTGTCACCTCCACATCTGGATGTGTGCTGTACCTTGCTTCCCTCCCTCCTCCCCTCTGAACCTTGCTCTTTCTTTTGTTGTTCTTGGGACTCCAGGGGTCTGCCTCCTGCTTTGCTCCTTTGAGAGATATTCATGGTCCCTTGGAGGTCTGCCTTTCAAGCGACCACCTGCCACCAGTGAGGGGGAGAATGTCCAGCCCCCAGAAGCCCCATCCTCTTCCTGGTGCCAGCAGCATGTTCTCACTGAAGTCCTCAGTGCTGGGAGTAGGATCTTCCTTTTTTCCTGCCAGGAACTAGTAGGGATGTCCCAGGCTCCCACTGCCTTTTCTATTGCTGAGGGCACTGTGGCTGCTCCAAACACTCAAACTGAGCAAGGTTAGAATCTGAGGACTTTGTCCAAGAGATTCCTCCAGTGACTTCTCTCAATTCCACCCTCAAGGTCCCCTGGTCTCCTGCTGCTTGTGGGGCAGGATCTTCTCCCCTCTTGCACCTCGCCTTACCCTAATAGGAACTCCACTGTTCCCACCTCACCTCTCTGTGCCTCCCCAGCTGCCTCACACACCCCACCCTATTGTCCCATTACCTTGCCCTCCCTGCTCTCCCCTCCTGCCTGTAGTGCTTTGATCTATTTCTAAGGAGTCTGTGTTTCACCTCCCCTGCCTCCCCACTGCTGGCCCTTCCTCCTTCCCTGTGTGTCATTGCTTACAGTAGCTGTACCCAATGCTGCTGTAAAAAAAAAAAAAAAAAAAAAAAAAAAAAAAAAAAAAAAAAAAAAAAAACCTCACCCCATCCGCCCTTCCCTGTTCCAAATTTTGCTGTTAAATTTTTTTTTTTATTTTTTCCCCCAAGTTTTCTTTTTCTTCTCTCTCTCTTTCTTTGGTGTTGAATAACTTATTTTAATGAATTTATCTTTTAATACAAGGGTGAAAAATTGCTACCATTTTAACACAGTTAAATCTAAACTTCAAAACTGACCGATAATTAATGACATGTTAATTTTGAAGTTTTTTACTATAAGGATATCAAATATAATACAGAACTCAATTTAATGCTGTTAAGCTTCTTAGCATTTCAAGAGTATCAAATTGCTTCTCCTGCCCCCACCCCTTCAAAAAAGAAAAAAATCACTTCTCCTAAGCAAGTATAGTACCTGCTGGTATTTGCAGCCATTAAAAAGTAAAGACAAAGAACTTTCAACTTGAATATGATTTGAGCATTTGTAAGCCATCTAAAATTTCTACCTGATACAGGGAATAGATAGGTTCATAACCTTGGCATAAGAAGTCATGTCACAGAGTTTGAATGTTGAAAGTGTACTTTTATCAGTTAAAGCAACTCTAGCATCATTTAGTACCTTTTCTAGTTTTTTTTTTTATTTTGCCAGTAAGAAACCAGATTTAATGTAACCATTCTTCAATCAATGAGATTTCTGTTGATCTGTTTCTTACCTGATTACTATCAATTGTACACAGATAGTTCTCATCAGAGCTGAGCATTTTCACATGAAGCTAATCAGTTTTTATTTAAAATTAATAATACATGCATGTAGATTAAAACTAAACATAATCATATGTAATCTAACATGGGATATTTAAACAAAAAAACTAAGAAAGTAGCCACTAGAAAGGAGACATGGAAGAAAAAAATTAAATGGAGATAATATTTTTTTTAATTATTAAGACAACTGCTAGCAATATATTCAGAACAACCAAAGTCAGAGAAAACATGTAAAACATGAAAAATTTCTTTCCAGTTGAAATAAATGTGTTTTAAGGAGAGAGGAAGAGAGGAACAAAAAAAAAAGCACTTTTTA